ACACACACACATACACATTTTTAAAAGATAAATTTTTTTGGTCTTCTAATTCAAATTCTTAATTACAGGAATTTTACTTAACTTTTTAATCTTCCATCTGTGTCTTTTGCATTTCGTAGTGAGAATCCTAGTTCTCAAGGACACTGTGAACAACCATAGACAGGTAGCATTTACCTAAGTTCAATTTGAGTATTAAAATTTTTAAAAGTATAAAATATATAAGAAAACTCCTAGGTCAGATCCATGCATTAGAACTCTTAAGAATATTAGCATTTGGTAGAATGTGAGCAGGGAAGATCCTGTGTTATTTTAATTGTGTCAGTTCAAAAGGAAACTGTCTAAAACCATTATATATTATGTGATTTAGGGACATCTTCTCTAGCATTTGTCTTGTTTCTTTTCATTCATTAAAGCAGGGAGGATCATTAAACATCTGAAAGTGTAGCCCTTTGGTACACTTGCCACTTTGGTCCCTGGGCCTTATCTTCTCTCCCTCTTGTGCTGCCTGTATGGAAACTGAGCCCAAGTATACAATGTGGATAAATGCCCTCTGGATAAATGCCCTCAGTGCAAAATTAACTTTATTGTTTTTAAGCTTTACTTATCTCTTTGGTTACAGTATTTTTAAAACTTGACCTAGGAGTGCCTCCCCCCCCATCATTTCAGAAAGAATGAAAGAACATCAAATGAAGAAATAATACGGGGTTGAATAAATCTAAAGAAATCTTAAATATAGTTAAATATAAATCCAAAAGTGTATTTGACAAGAACGTTTGTGTATGTTTTTATTTAGTTCAAAGTTATTATGGGCTCCCCACAATTTGATTGCTAGGTGAATGTTGAATTTAACCCTCATGAAGAAATTAAAAAACATTTCTCAAGCTAGACTGAGTGAATTCTTTTTGTGCATATGAAAGAAGTCTTCTCAATCTTTTTGTAGATAGGAAAGAAGTCTCTATCCTTGGGCCATTTTTTATTTACTTGGGAATACAAAAAATAGGTGGTCACACAACTTGTAACTACGGTTTCTCATTTTACCAGATTTTTCTACCTTCATCCCTTTTCTCCTGTTTCCTTCCCCTTTCTCCTCTCTCAGCTTATGAAATCGCATGGCCCAGGTAGCGCAACGTGCGTGTGATCTGTTCCATGAAATGTTCTTTTACCCCCACCCCATAGCCAAATTTATCTACCCCACCTTTGTAACCTCATAGTTCATGTTTAGTCCTCATTTTAATACTTAATGCATAATAATTTTGTGCTAAAATTAATTGAAAGTGTAGAGGATAATTCTAGTAAAATATTTCTACTGGATTGCAGTGCTTGCCGCTATGTCTTACTCATTTTCAAGCCTCATGATTTGTGTCTTCACTAAACACATTTGTACTTAGATTGCATTGCAACCAAGTAGTTTGTTAAAAACTAAAAAGAGACAGATACACAGTTTAATTTGTAAATCATGTGTCCCCTTCAAATAAGAGCCAAGTGATGTCATGTCACAAATATTTTACTCATGTAACTTTAAAAAATATAATAGGTGAATTAAGTTGTTGCACAACACATAGTGGAATAGACGTGGTAGTGTGAGAGCATCTGCTACTCTATATTGTATTTGCAGAACTTAGTTTCAGCAAAAGCTCTATCTACTTTGTTAATACTGATTTTAAAAGTTTTTATTTTGTGGCTATTTATTTAATTTATAAATGTGTTTTAGTTTTACAATTGTATTAATATGGTGAGGCATATTAATTGTATTTGTATACAAACATCATCATATAATTTAAGTCAAGATCAAGAGTCTAATATTCTTTTTTTGAAAAGGATTTGTATGTTACTCAAGGTTAGGAAATAATGATACAGACTGCAGAATATTATAGAGACCAGAGGCAGAAGGAATCGACATTAGAGTAATAAGAAATGCCAATTTGGATTATGCCAGCATCTTGATTATAGCATAATAATGATTTTTAATTTATTATGACAACTAGCCATTTGTCAAATAATCTAGATCTTGCATCAATATGTGTAAATTACTTCTGGTTGTTAATTAAATATCCTAATTTAAAAATCGATAGGGATTTTTAACCTTTTCCTGAAAGATGGATTTAGTACTTTATTTAGCCAGTTTCCCCATGTATGTTCGTATGGTCCTGATTTGCAGCATATCAGTTTATAATCTGTACAATTATTGTGTAAAATATTTGATACATTTGTATTAAGATCTTATATGCAAATGGCACATTTCAATGATTTTTTTGAACATAGATACTTCTGTTAGCCCATTTATGCTTTTATTCATAATTATTATTTACTCATATTCTCATATGTTCCCAGTAGGTCAGAAAGTCATTTCAGCCCGGCCAGGCGTGGCTCAGCAGTTGAGCGTCGACCTAGGATCCAGGCGATCGGGGTTCGATTCCCGGTCAGGGCACATGCCTGGGTTGTGGGCTCGATCAATGACTTTCTCATCATTGATGTTTCTATCTCTCTCTCTCCCTCTCCCTTCCTCTCTCGGGAATCAATAAAGATATATTTAAAAAAAAAAAAGAAAGAAAGTCATTTCACATGTTTGTTATCACTTGACTTACTTAATAATAAGATGTAGTCAAAATAGAAATTAAGAACACTTGTTCCTTAGTTATTTCCAAGTCTTAAAGCACTCTGTGGTTGTCACTTTTTTCCCTGCACAATTGTTTCTTTAGATATTTCTAAAAACCTGAAAAACCTCATAATATATATTTTTATATTTTTAACTTTCAAAATTTAATAAAAATTCAAAACAGAACACCATATTATAGTTTATTTAGAACCCAATATGGTCTTTAGAAACATCTTTATATTCAGCCAATAGATATATAATGAAAAGTATTTGGTTAATGAAAAAAATTTTTAAGTGTAGTTGATCTTAATTTTATAAAAATAATAAGTATTTTCTAACTTACATGGTAACGTTTAGAATATTAAAAAAAACAGCAACGAACTGAAAGTTGCAGTTGAACAGAGTACTATAAACTATACTCATATTCAGCAGTACCGTTAACTTACCGTTCTTTTTGCAAAAGGTACCTTGTATTTTAGAGAATACAATGGCATTATGTACATTAATTCATGGGGCTTGGTGAAAAAAATGTTACAACTCCTTTACTTAATGGGATTCTTCCCCTGTGGCAGTGCAAACGGCTGGAGCAGGAGCTTCATCATTTGAAAGAGCAGAACCAGACTTCAGCAAACAACATGAGACATCTGACTGCTGAAAACAATCAAGAACGTGCTCTGAAGGTAAATCTCTGTTCCTTCTTGCAGGCAAATTAAGGTTGTAAGCCCTTGGTGCCAGCTTTCTGTGCTGCATATATCAGTTGTGTACATTTCAGCAGAAGTGAGCTGTGGTGTTTGCCAACAACCCCTTCTTTAAACACAGATACAGCACCCTTCTGCTGTGGTATTATCTTATCTCATGTACGTGTACATGAAAACAACATATTTTCTGAATTTTGAGTGGTGGTCTATTAATAACTTTTGGTACATGTTCTTTCTGTTTCAGATTTTTATAATGTTAACTTTTGTAGTGAATAAAAAATGGCCACACTAAAAGAAAAAATTAAATGATGAACCTTTTTTTCCCATCAGTATTTATTACATTAGTTTTTTAAATGACTTTTAGTATTAGTAACCCACAGAACTGACACTCCTTGAAGGGTATGTGAATATGTTTGGGGATTGAAATGGTACTTAAAATGTTGCTTATTATCAAAAAAAGAAAACAGTCTACTAGAATTTGAAACTAATGTGTACATTTCATGACAAGAAGTTCTGTTTCATTGTAATATAGATCCAATAATCATGAATGAGGACATTATTTTGATTCTACTTACACTATTATATATTTTTTTTCTTAAGATGTTTTTTACTTTGCCTCAGTTCCTAGCATAGATAGTTCTTGTGACCTAGTACAGGTCCCTGCCCTCAAGGTGCTAACAATCTCACGAACGGGTTAAAAGTAAAAACAAAAACATATCCAGGGGAAACAAAAAAAATCCATCATTGTTGATATTGTGCAGAAAAAAAGATGTGCTGTCTGGAGGATTGTATAAGTGCTGTAGTTCTCTGTTACTATATCCTCATTATTTTCTTTTCTTGATCGCTGTTCTTTAGCTGGTCCCTCTTTTTCTATGTATTCCTAAAGTATAAATGAGCCCCTGGAATATGTGATTAGTTCCTTATTTTTCTCCATTAAAAATGTTTTTATTTTTTAGGGAGTTTAGGTTCACAGATGTATAGAGTTCCCACATATCCCTTCTCCCCCCTACATGCACATGCCCACAGCATCCAGCAAGAGAGGGGTACATTTGTTACAATCCATGAGCCTACATCAGTGTAACCCAAAGTCCATAGTTTACATTACGGTTCACTCTTAGTGTTGTATAGTCTATGGATTTTGACAAATGTAAATGACATGTATCTGCCATAGTAGTATCCTACAGAAGAGTTTTACTCCAAAAATCCTCTGTGCTCTACCTATTTATTCCTGCCTCCCCAAGACCTGCCACCCATTAGTCTTTTTATCATCTCCCTAGTTCTGCCTTTTCCAGAATGTCACTTAGGAATATGCATTTAAAGTACCTCCATATCTTTTGGTGGCTTCATAGCTCATTTCTTTTTAGTGTGGAGTAATGCTCCATTTTCAGGATGCACCACATTTTATTTATCCACTCACCTACTAAAGGACACCTTGATTGTTCCTGGATTTTGGCAATTATGAATAAAGCTGCTATAAATATATGTGGGCATGTTTTTGTGTGGACATAAGATTTTCAAGTCATTTGGGTAAATACAGTTGCTGGGTTGTATGTTTAGTTTTGTAGAAATTTCCACACTATATTCTAAAGTGGCCGTACCCTTTTTCACTCCCACCTGCAATGAAGGAGAGTTTCTCTTGCTCCACATTCTTGCCAGCATTTGGTGGGGGTTTTGTTTTGTTTTCTTTTTTATTTTTATTTTAGGCCTGTCTCTTTAAATTTCATCCATTCCTGTAATATCACTTATAGTTTATATCCTAATGATTGCCTTGTACGCCTTCCACTTGAATATCTTAATGTCTCCTTAACCTTAACAACTCTGAAGCCAAATCCCTGATCTGACTCCCTAAGCCTTCTGTTCTCCGTGGAAAGAAGTCAGGACCTGAGTCAAACACTATTGACTGTATAATTTAAGATTTATTCCCAATCCTGTTTTTCTTTGTTTGCCTTTACTATAGAAGCTGTTGAAGGTAAACACCTTCTCAGCCTTCCTTTTTGCCAATGAGGCATAAGAGGAATTCTACAGTAGGGGTGGGAGAAGAAGTTGGAGTGTCTCTGAAAAGGGTTTTGTTTCCCTGACATAGGACAGGAGCATCAGGCACCATTCCTTTCTTCTTTTTGCCTAGAACACTTATTCACTGCCTGGAGCTGCAGCAGCTATTTTATAGCCAAGAAAAGAATGCGAAGAGAAGCCGGCCTTTCATTTTAATATCATCAAGCCCCTTAGCCAGTGGAACACTTTGAGAATGTTAAGCACCTATACCCTGATTTCTTTTTCTGGTGACAGAAATAATGCCGGATATTTTATTTTATTTTCATTTATTTATTTTTTATTTTTTTAAATATATCTTTATTGATTTCAGAGAGAGGAAAGGAGAGGGAGAGAGAGAGACAGAAACATCAATGATGAGAGAGTCATTGATCAAGCCCGCAGCTGGGCATGTGCCCTGACCAGGAATCGAACCCCAATCGCCTGGATCCCAGGTTGATACTCAACCGCTGAGCCACGCCCGGCCGGGCTGCCGGATATTTTAAATCACTCTTAATGGTTTCTATTATTCATCAATTAACATCCATTAGTTAATGGTACTACCATACTCCTAGATATAACTAATACAATTACATAATTGTATCCTTCCAAGCTCTCCCCATCACAAAGCAACTTAGCATTTGTTTTGTCAATTCTGCAACAGTGATTCCTTCTCTTTTTCTCTTAACTATCCTCCCTCTATCCTCTGTCAAGTTCATGATCTAGACAATGGTACCCTCCTAACTTAATTTTTGTCCCCAGTTTCTCTCCTCTTTAATCAATTGTCACACTTCCATTAGCTATCATTATAAAACAGGTAACACTTTTCTACTGAAAACCCTTCACTAAATCTTGTATTTTCAGCAGTGTAAGAAAATAGGGATATCCTGAATGACCCTCCTGATAAAGACAATGAAAAAGGATGGTTAAAAGTTATATTTTAAAAATATTTTACAACAACATTACTGAGAAGGTAGGAAGATATGGAATTTGAAAAGGCCTTAAACAAAATGGGGATGGGAAAACACAACAAAATATGGAACATAAATGATTGCCTGAAGCGGTCTTTTACCCTGAGTGCATTCGTCACACGTGGGTAAATTTGAGCTTCCATTTTAATGGCTTCAAGGGGAAGACATAGGGCAGACAGAGCCCAGAGTCTGTTAGCCAGAGAGTGCACATGAGGTGTGCTCTCCTGAGGCTGATCTCCTAGGTGGCCACAGCATTCGCGTTTAGGTGTATAGGAGTCAGTCCCCTTGTACAAAAGAAGACAACAGGGTATCTTGACTTTCTTGACTACAGAAGGGGAAAATAGCACAGAATATATTATCCACAGTCCCCTTTCAGGCAGGTTGAGAACCACACAGGTTGCCTGAATTTTTGTTGTCTGTGTGGTTCTAAAAGCTGAGGATTTGATTTGAAGTAGTCCTACCCTGAAGGGGCCTGTAGACAACAGATAACACAAATTACCTTCACATTGGGCCTTTAATATTCCTATAAAGTTTCAGAGACCCTGAGCTATCAAAAACACATGTAAGAGAAGCAGTTACTTCCTTTAATGAACATTAGTAAACACATGAGGAGGCAGAATCACGTACGTAATCAAATAGAATGTAAGTGTTTAAGTGAGATCTTCCAAAAGAGATGCTTGAGCAAGGAAGATGACTAAAAATGATCAGGGAGATTTGGGAAAAACTAGATTGAACTTACAAAAATTAAAATTAAACATCAAGTAGGTTGAACAGCAGATTTCAGAGTTTAAGAAACTGTTAATGAACTGGAAGGTACAGTTGAACAAGTATGGAAATGGAAGTTGGAGAGAGACAAAGAAGTACAAAATAGAAAAATGATGTTAAAAGACACAAAAGATAGAGTGAAAAAATCTAAAATAAATCTACTCAGAGTTCTAGAGGAGATAATACAGGAAACAGTGAAAAGGCAAGATACAAAGAAGTAAGGAATGAGAATTTTCCAGAACTGTCAAATGAAACAAACCTCAGATCTAGGAATACCAAATGAATTCTAAGTGTGACAACCTAGAAGAAATTGCAGAACATCAGATTTAAAGATAAACTATTAAAAACAGCCATTACAAAAGACATATTTACAAAGGAATGGCAATTAAACTCACTGACTTCTCAACAGTAATAATGAAATATCTTAAATACACTGAGAACAACAAGGGGAATAATTTTTTACACATACAAAGAGAAAGTAACTGTCAAGAGCAAGAGTAAAATAGTGGTTAGAAAAATAAAAAATTTAGTTGCTTTTTTATTGTCTAAGGAATGTAAGCTAAACCTCCCAAGGATGAAATTTAGGACTCTACACTAGTTTTAGCCTGGTTTTTATTTTCTTTCTATTTTTTATTTTTGGAACCATTTATCTCTCTTTAGTATTCATAAACCCCAGTATCTCCTACTCCTTAGAGTTTCGTATGTGTCATGTTCTTTAATTCCCTCTAGTCGTTACTTCTTTTATGGCTTTTATTTAATTCTTTCTCTGATATTAGTTGATTGCTTACATGTCATCTTCCCTAAATCAAAAGCAAGCATAAGGGATCAGTAGCTATTTTATGTTGCTATTCTTGTGCAATTTAGCACATTGTTGAACTCATATTTCATGATCAGTAAGGTTTGAAAATCAGAAATAAATTTTAATCTGTCCTAGTTGAAGTCAACATATTAGCATCTACTAAATTCAGGACATGGAGGACATGGACTTATTCTGGTATAATATTGTCTTCATAGTCACTAACTGCCCAACTAAAACTCTCTAGAAGGATTTTTATTTTGTGCTAAAGTTTACTTGCTCATGAATTGAACAGTATCGGGAATTCTAGTTTTTTACTATTGGCTTAAAAATATTGAGATTTTTAAAAATATATATATCTTTACTGATTTCAGAGAGAGGAAGGGAGAGGGAGAGGGAGAAAGAGACAAAAAACATCAGTG